TGGTGGCACTGAAGGCTAGCTGCCCCAGCCTTCTGCCTGAGGCCCCACCCTTCCCAGGGGTGTGGAGCCAGGCTCCCCAATCTTGCTCGGGGCTTGGCAAGTCCATCAGCACTCCTACCTGTGCCCCATGCGACAGAGGAGGGCAACAAATCTGCCAACCCGACGGGAGGACATACTGTGATCAGTTAGACCCTGAGCACACGGGCAAGAGCCAACAGCCAGACACCTGGGAAAGAATTCTCTGCAGTAACTCTGAGCCCTGCCCATCCATCGACCCCTCAGCCACCGCTTGCTGGGGATACTTGCTATTGGCAATTACAGATCAGCTACATGCTATTGTGGGCAGTCTCATCATGCCCTCCCCTCCACAAACATATCACGCTAATTCTGAAGCCAGTTAGGCATTTTGCCCCCTCCCCTAGGAAGGCTGTTCCCGACTCCACTCCTCTGATTATTAGAAGCCTTCATTGAATTTCAGCTTGGCAGGGACAGGCAGGACCTAGATAAGCCAGGAAGCTGGCAACAGAAGGGGCACAGGAAGGGAGCCTGCGGTCACTCTGGAGGAGGGAAATGTGTTGGGACTGTAGACTCTTGAGGGCAGGTCACAGTTACTCCCTGGGTTTGCCAGCCTCCCAGCTCCCGGGAAGGTAGGAGAAGGGAGCCAGGAAGGTGGAAGAAGGTTAGGGGAATAGCAGTGCAGACTTTACCTGCTAACCGGAGGGCCCCTGAACTGGAACCCAGAGTAGAGCCAGGCCCAGGTTCCCCTACCAGTCCCTGGGGATGTGGTAAGTGCCAGGCAGACAGTGGATGGCCTGGGACAGTTTGGTCTGGGCAAGACTTTGTTACAGTCTCACCCTCCAGATGCGGGAGTCATGTTGGGAACTGGCCAAAGACTGAGTCGTGAAAAGGAGGCTGCAGTTCCTGGAGCAAGAGGGGCCACAAGATGTGAGGATGATGGGAAAAGTATCGCCAGAGGAGGGCACAACACCAGGCCAGACCTAAATCTCTTAATGGCCAATACGGGGCACGGTCAGCAGTGAGTGTACCCTCTTCTGCATTGACGGAGGGCTCTCATATGTCCCCTCAGCCTTCTTTAGCTTAGGCTTAACAAGCCAAGGCCCCCCAGTCTCCTCTCCTATGGTGAGTTCTCCAGTTCATACCAGTAATAAATGCAGATGAATTCCCCTGAGTGTGAACATGTAAACAAGCCTTTTCAGCGGCGCCGTTCTAAATAAACCAGCACCAGTAACGCAGATGGCTTAACATAACCCCCTGACCTTATTCCACACCTGTGTATTCTGGACTGTAAACAGGTAGCGCGTTCATCCACCTACGTTCGAGAGGGGCTTGTGTGTGAAAAGTCAGATTTGCCTGGAGGAATGTGGCTCAGCCTGCGTGTGCGTTTACAATGAACAGGCTAAAAACCTGCAATAGATGGAGTGTAAGAAATTTGAAATCAGCCACATTCTAACCCCACCAGCCCATTTTGGGCATGCACAGTTCTTTCCATAGATGCTAACCCTGTGCGACCTGTAGCAAAGACTAACCGTTATGGATGACAGCAAGGAATGTGGATTCATTCTCTTGTCTGCATGGCAACCCAGGTAGCAGCACATTCACACACCCCTGGGTACTCGCTCCAACACTTGATTTGCATTTGCTTACTCCAGATGGCACCTCAGCCTGTTCTGCCGGCACCGTGCTGCGTGTCAGTGTTCAGCAGACAGCTGTTTGTAATAATTAGCTGATTTCTACGGCTCTCCTTTAGGCATGCAGCTAGTGATGCATCGAACACTGATGTTCAATTGCGCACTAACCTTGGCCTAATGGCCCCTGCTGAGGAGACCTATATAGCTATGTGATCAGGAGAAATAAGACAATAATCCTGCAGCCTGTTACTTTATAGATAGCACTTTTCCTGTGTAATATGGCCCTTGTTTGTCTGGCCCTCTGGTGCCCTCATCTCTGGACTCCATGCAGCAGTGCAAGTCAGGAGCAAATCCATTTGTCTCCGACAATTGCCTTGCATTTATACCAGTATAAATGAGTAGACTTTGGTCCCCAGTGCTAAGAACGGATGGTGCGCATGTGCAGTCAATGAGGCAGAGAGGTGCCTACCCTCCAACACCAAAATCTTCCACGCTGTTGTTATAGGGGAATTCAGTCCACTGGAGGAGCCGCACCATGTGTTGTGACATGTGTGGGACCCATGCTTCTTGAAAGCTGTATTGTGGGGGTGGGTGATTATTGCAGTAGTGGAGATATGTCTGCAGGGTTTGCATTTCTTGTTCTAGCTGGGTCTGTTGCTGCTTTGAAGTGATTTGTCCTGCTTTGTAGGATACTTGTGTCTGATGATGAGGTTGGGTGGTGGTCTGAATTCCAGAAGAGGTAGGTGCGGGAAAGATTTCTTTCAGGGTGGGGTCCCTGTCAGGTATAAAACTCCAGTAATGGTGTGGGTGAAATCAGACCATCACTACAACTCTGGAATGAACTCTCACAGGAAAAAGATGAAAGATGGAAACACCCGTCACCTGCGGGTGACCGCTTTTCACAAAGCGATCATTCCGTATCTGACCTCTCAGCCCTCATCCTCAGAGGAAACCTGCACAACAGGCAAACCCGGGAGTTTACAGTCATAACTTTGCTAGACACGAAAACGCATGGCCTGAAGAGAGACACTGGATTTGTGGCTTATTAGGACAATCTATAGTCCACTAACAATGCACCCACCATCTCTTCCCCCACCTCCTTTCTTCCCTTCCCTTCCCTTAGTGGGCCACTTCACCTTGAATGGTCTCTTGAAATATTTAACTACTTAGGTTAAGCAATCTTGGCAAACCGGGTATTTATCAGTGACATTCTGAGTTTCCCAGACCTGAAGAAGAGCTCTGTGTAAGCCTGAACACATGTCTCTCTCACCAATGGGAGTTGGCCCAATAAAAGATATCATCTCATCCATCTTGTTTCTAATATACTGGGACCAATATGGCTACAACCACCCTATGAACACCAAGCCAGATATATCAAGTGCAGAGAGCTACATTGTTCGATTGGTTCTGACTGCAGTTTCAGGACTAGCATGTATAAATGTTGTAACCCTGAAAGCTTTTGCATGGATCTGGAGTGTTCTGTGTTTCTACAGCTCTAGCTAGCTAAAGGCAAGACATATATCTCAAATCATCCTGATTACCACCTTGCTTTTTTTCTTCTCATTTACATTCGAATGCAGCATTTCTTAAGTGTGTTCCGTGGCACACTGGTGTGCCGCGAGGCAGTTGGAGGTGTTCCGTGGAGAACAGAGTTCAAAATCTCCAGCGTGTTGTTTAGCGGATTCATAGAATCATGGAATCATAGAACTGGAAGGGACTTCAAGAAGTCATCGAGTCCAGTCTCCTTCCCTCACAGCAGAACCAAGCACCATCTAGATCATTCCTGACAGGTGAAACAAAATACAGGACTATGTAGCACTTTAAAGACTAACAAGATGGTTTATTAGGTGATGAGCTTTCGTGGGCCAGACCCACTTCCTCAGATCAAATAGTGGAAGAAAATAGTCGCAACCATATATACCAAAGGATACAATTAAAAAAAACTGAAAGAGGAGGTACAGTTCATCTTCAAGTTTGACACAATCAACTCAGGATTAAACAAAGACTGTGAATGGCTCCCTAACTACACA